AAACTCTAGAGTGTTTGCGGCCTACGCCACTTATTTATCGGGTGAGACTGTTTTGGTGATGTATTAACTTCACGGGAGGTAGACGACCGTCCTTCACACGGACGAAAGAGGGAGTGCTCAAAGAGCGGCTCCCACAGCAAGGAGGGGCCCCGTGAATCATCGCGGTGCCCCCTATCAAACGGTTTACCAGTCTGCGTGACACAAAATCATCCAGCACATGTATCCAACAGCAATGTTCGCAGACTCACGAACAGGCACAGCAACCATGCCGGCCAGGAGGAACAGCAACCCATACTCTTCGATGGGAAACCCCGTCTACGACGCTCTGTCTGATGTACAGGAGGACCTTAGGCTGATCCTGTACGACGTCCGAGGGAACACTCACGACATCGCGGTGGGTAATCCTCGACTAAAGGAAGCACTTCGTAAGGCATCGAAGGTGAATGATCCCATCCTCAGCAATCCGCTGCCGTCACCGTTGCAGGTGTGCGTTTTGCACCCTACGACCCACCGTTGTTCGTTTGTCTTCGTTGCAGTTGGAGCCCTGTCGTGCACACCTAGAGCATCCACAGCAGTTGCAAGAATCCGTGTAACAGGGAGCAACACTCCCTGAGAACAGACGCGGCGGAAACTAGAGATTGACTTTTCGCGCGCTATCGCTGCTGTTGCCCGTATCCAATTCCCCTCCTTGAGTGGCTCAGGGGGGTACAATTCCTTACAATCCTGCCTCCCTCCTGGTTCTCTCTCGGTTCCTCCGGCCTCCCTCCTGCGTTTTGTCGCTTGCTGCACGTCACATGTTTTGCTGCCTTCCCCAACATAAAAAAAATAAAATTACAATCGGAGCAACAACCTACGGTGGCTACCACCCGAGCGTTCAGGATTTGTTGCTCCCAGGTTTACTCACATTTCTGCAGTAGCAGTTTTTCCTGCGTTTTTCCTGTGGTTTTTGAGGACAACCTGCGTTCGTGCGTGCTCGTACGAAGTTTGTCCCCCGATGCGAAACACCGCCTGTTGCTGCATGCATGCGCCATCCTCGCAGGGATCCTTCGAGATTGGCGTGGGTACTCGCCTTCACACAGGAGCATTGGCACCTAGCCCNGACACGGAGTGTAGGGTGTCAACAGTGTCCGCTCGCAATGTGGAGATTGACGTGAAGCATGCGAGGGAGGTAGACAAGAGCAGTGCGGGTGCTCCCAGGAAGTCGGGAGGGAAGGGCGGGGCCGACAAGAAAGGCAGGTCGGGAGTGGATGAGGGGTCGGAGCCCGGGGAGGGCAGGGAGAGCAGGAAGTCAGATGGGCAGAAATGGTCGGGGCGTGAAAAGGAAACAGCGAAGGGGAGCAGTAGGAAGGGCGGGCGCTTTACCGACGATGAGGATCCGGACGGGAAATAGAACGGAGGTCAACAAGGCAACGACAAAAAGGTGAGACAGGCTTGCTACGGTCACCAACTTTGAATGGCAAGTGATGGAGGTACACGGTAATGCCGCTGCGATGCCGTATGATACACCCATTGTCATCCGAGCGCGTCTTGTTTCGACGCAAGGGGGAGGGGGAATGCTGTCGACTATTGTTGATGGATTTGTGGTTGTGTCCATTTCCCCGCTTTGTTGGTGTGCAGAGGAAGCAGGTGGGCGATCCTGATGAAGATGAGGATCCCGACGATCTTGCCTCCGACTATGAAGACCTTGCCTCCGACCATGAAGACGACCACGATGATGTAGACGACCGCGATGACGAAGCCGACAGCAATGATGAAGACGACCAACAAGGCGGGATCAAGAAGGTGGTCAAGAAGGTAAGCCCCGCTTGCGGCGGCTCGAACGTTTGCACTCGGAATGGACTAGGCAATACCAGTCCCGACAAAGTATTTGGTCGGCTTGAGGTCTCTGAGCTTCGTCTGAGCTTGTGATTGGACTGCGCAATCTCGCGGCCCTTTGATGCGTGGCGCATGCAGGAGCAGGAATGTGCCAGCGGTAAGAGCAAGGGCAAAGGGGCGGATAGTGAAACGGACGAAGACCCGGACGAGGAAACTGGGCTGTGGGGGGACGTAGATGGCGGAGAATTTGCGCACCTTGGCCGCGCGTTCGACGTGAAGGAGTCAGCCTACGACACGTGGGCGGCCGCATTCGCCACGGTCATCGGAGAGCTCGAAGAAGAAGGGCATCTAACCCTTCAAAAGAAGAGGCGCAAGTTGGTGAGTTGAACAAATCTGGTGTTTCGATTGCACGGAGGTTCATTGTATAGCCTAGGGAAGCCACGACATCACGTCTTCACTCTGAAACAAGCTGGTAGAATCATTCGCGGTTCAACCGATGTTTCCCAATGCGTTCCCAATGAATTTATTTTGCCTTCCGGCCTATGTGCCCGCAGACGACCGACAAGAGCAGGCACTACCTCTGCGAAATCGTCTGCAAATATTCGGGGGTGGCGCGTAGGCGTGCGCCCCAAGTGGGGAAGCAGAAGAGGATGCGGAAGAGTAACATGGTGCGTAACATAGTCTGAGGCTGTTGATGTTCAGAGCCGGAGTTCGCTGCGAGATTTTCGCGGGAGAGTGCGTCGGCCCCCTTTCAACACGCGTCGCGGGATACCCACATCTCTTGCGACGCATGTCCCGTGACTGTTCGTGGTGCAGATCAGGTGCCCTTTCAAGATCCACATGACGTGGCGAGTTGGGGCGACTAATCCCACCATAACGTCCGTGAGGATGGGAACTCGTCGTAGCCTATGTGCTCGTATCGTACCTCGCCCTTATTTGCGGCCGCTGAAACAGCTACGTGACCTATATGGGGTACCTGTCTTCGTGGTTGCGGTGTTCTCTTCTTCGGGAAATTGTCGCCGTCTATTTGTCGTTCTTTTCTTGTCGTTTATTCGTTCCGTTTCGTTTTTTGTGGTGTCGTCATCCGCTACTCCGTGTTTTTGTACTCCAACGAGTAATTCTTTCGCCGTGTTTTCTGATTTTCTTTTGATGTGACCGTCGTTCGTTCGACATGCTCGCGTGCATGCCAAGCGGGTGCCTCTCTGCGTACCCAAATACCAACCCTCACGCCACACGAAATATCTACTTGAGTCGTGCGTGATGATGACAAGCCTCGTCGCTGCCGTCAGGAAATCCCGTTTTCCCTGTTCCGACGGGCGTTGTTACCGTCCTTGACATTCCCGGTGCCTTTTTTGCCGCTTTTTGGGGCGATTCTTGTGCGTTTAACGTTCGTGTTTGATCCGATCGTGCACGCTAGTCCTTCTGTAAGCACAACCACAATCCCCGGGGGAGTGTCTCAAGAGCCCAGGCTAAAGCCCTGCCGCCCACAGTGGTCGACGAGAGATTCGATGACGTCCGCAAGTGGACGACGGCTGGCGTCAAACCCACGGACATGTTCAAACTGCTGAAAATGCACTACGACGGTTTGTGCTTGGCGAAAGATGAGAAGAAGAAGGTAAATTGATTTGCACGAGCTTTACTGGCGGGCGCTGCGCACGGGCCGTTGCTGCAGTCGTCCAAAGCCCGAATGGGGAAGGGGGGGTGGAGGGGGTGGGAGGTTCGAGGGCGAGCAAATGTCGTAGCCGTGCTTGGCGATCATGGGGTGTGTATGTCTGACAGGTAGAATCGCCCCCGATCACAAAAATCGCGCGAAACCGAACCTAAGCTATACTGTTACATTACGACGTGGGTGTGAAATGTTCGTTGATAATTGGCCAACTTCCTGGACATTCCGAACGTTTTCCGAACCCTCCAAGGTGTATAACGCCATAAAAAAGATTCAAAACGAGTTGTACTCCACGCCTGAGGATGGCGCCAATTTCCTCGCGAAGTTGGAAGCTGAGCCCGGGATGTTCGTCAAGCGCACTTTCGACAGCCTAGGGAGGATCGTTGATGTGTTCTGGGCCACCGTCGACCAACAGGACAAGATGGCGGCGACCGGCTGTATGCAGATGGATACTACAGTGTTCACCGACAGGTACCTCCGACGGCGTGACTGCTGAAGTACGTTCTGCTCCGTTTCAACCGACCTCGTTGCTGTCGTTTCGAGTTGCCCTCTGTCTGTTGAGCTTCGGTTGTCCTTACCTACGACCCGCCTCCCGCGTGCGCACGCCACACCTTTTACCTTCGTTCGGTATCTGCAGGTACGGGTGCCCACTCCTGTTCATAGTGGGCGTGGACGACGAAAACCGCACGTGCGTCTTGGGACAGGGCGTCCTGCGGTCGGAAAGCACCGAAACCTTCAAGTGGTTCTTGGACTCGTACGAGGAAGCTGCTGGTGGACGGAGGCCAAAGGTGTGCTAAGCAACCCGAACCCTGTAGACGGTTGGAACCTAGAGCTGTCCACGGTGGGCGTGGACGGATGTTTGACATGCACAGTTGCCAGCTCAGGAGTCGACAACGCGTATCACATGTCGTCCATTCGCACCTCCTTGTGTCTACGCCGACTTAGTACTTCCCCTACACGATATGCCAATGAAATAATGTTGTGGGGGCATGTGTGCCTTCGTCTCTTCTTTCGTGCCGGATTCGTATAGGTCATGCTGACCGACGCAGACCAGGCCATGGCCGCGGCCTTGAGGGAGTGGAAGACCATCGTGCACCTGTGGTACTTGTGGCATCTCAACAAGGACGTGGTCAAGCACTGTTCTTCGTTCTTTTCTGACCCGAGGACACGGGAGAAGATGCTCCGTCTATTCAGAAACGCTGCGTACGCCGCTACGCCGGAGGTGAGGATAGTGTGGGCTGCAGTTGCTTCTTATCTTGCANGGGGCATGTGTGCCTTCGTCTCTTCTTTCGTGCCGGATTCGTATAGGTCATGCTGACCGACGCAGACCAGGCCATGGCCGCGGCCTTGAGGGAGTGGAAGACCATCGTGCACCTGTGGTACTTGTGGCATCTCAACAAGGACGTGGTCAAGCACTGTTCTTCGTTCTTTTCTGACCCGAGGACACGGGAGAAGATGCTCCGTCTATTCAGAAACGCTGCGTACGCCGCTACGCCGGAGGTGAGGATAGTGTGGGCTGCAGTTGCTTCTTATCTTGCATCCTTCATGTTCTGCATTGCCGCCTCTGCCCCGACTACGTGAGTGGGTGATTTATCCTCGGCCACCTCGATCGTCCGTTCGTTGCAGGCCTTCGCTGCATACCGGGCTGACCTGGAGAGGACCGTTGCGACCAGTACATCCGGGACCTTCTCGAGTAAGTATGGTGCCGTATAAAAAACCAAGCGCGCGAGTCATGCTGCGTAACAGCCGTGCGAACTTGCTGCGCCTGCTCCGTAGCAGAGGTAGCCAAAGACGTTTTCTATGCTCAGTCTTTTCGTCGGAAAATGTTGACCTCGTGCTGGTGCTGTGAAGGGAAAAAGCGAAGTGGGCCTTCTCCTGCCGGCCGACAGCGCTCACGCTGGGCATGGTTGCCACGAAGCGCACCGAGGGCATGTTCGGGGTGGCGAAAAAGTCCGGGATACACAAGAAGCTGTCTCTGTGCGCTCTGTGGGACCGCCTCCAACATGTGTACCAGACAATGGACATTGAGCACGGCAGGTGAGATGAAGTGAACCCGGATCTGTAGAAGTGCGAACTCCGCTTTTACTACGTCAATGTGCGACGGTGCACTTGGGCGCGTGTTGTTCGCCTCGGTGATATCCTCGGCGAAAGTAATTGTCGAAGATCAAGTCCTCAGTTGAGGCCTCCTCGACCGTGAGCTCTGACGAGAGTTTGCCATAGCACGCCTTCAACTTCCTTCCGAAGCGGAAGCTCACAGGGGTGCAATTCTCTTGCGGACATTCCGGTTGACCTCGTTCGTCCAGGGTTGCAAGCCCAGCCGTGAAAGCCGAGTTGGCTTTTCAGACGAAGCACTTGGAGGGGTTTCTCGCCCCGATCCGGGAATAGCTCGAAGGTGTTGGCGTCAGCCAATACTGCCAACTGGTGAANAGTTTGCCATAGCACGCCTTCAACTTCCTTCCGAAGCGGAAGCTCACAGGGGTGCAATTCACTTGCGGACATTCCGGTTGACCTCGTTCGTCCAGGGTTGCAAGCCCAGCCGTGAAAGCCGAGTTGGCTTTTCAGACGAAGCACTTGGAGGGGTTTCTCGCCCCGATCCGGGAATAGCTCGAAGGTGTTGGCGTCAGCCAATACTGCCAACTGGTGAAAAGTTCGGAGAGTTTTCCGGTTTCCTTTTTCCTTCTTATCCCTGCCGTCTGGAAGTTGAACATCCACGTTACCCCGTGCGCAAGACAGTAACATGTACGCAGTCGATACATCTACCCGTTTGGAACCCCTTCCTGGTGCGTACCGTATTGTTTTTCCGGGGAAACAACCCTACCACATCGCAGTGCGCCCCTGTCCACTGCACTCTGCAGGAGGCTAAGGACGAGCTCGGAGGATCCCAGTCGTACGACGTAGAAGTCATCTGCGTAGGAGCGGCGGACGACGAAGGCCACCCCGTGCCTCTGGAGGGTGATGTCCTGCGTCAACAGCTTGAGGCCGCACACTTCGACTTCAATCTTTGCGAGGAAGGGCCGCCCGACACTGACCTGGAAATCGACTGCAAGCTTGACCCGGAGGCTGAATCGACCGAAGACAACACCGTTTGGGCGCGTACGTCTTTGGAGGCGCTGTTGGACCTCTTCAGCCGAGTTCCCGTCCATCTTGCCGCCGCCGTGCCGTACAAACTCACGCCTTCACGGCCGGGCCATGTTGTTGTATCTGGCCCGGGTGGCTTCTACTTGTGCTCTTGTCTGAAGCTTATGCGCCACGGCCTACCATGCAGGCACTACTTTGCCGTGCTTTTTCGCTTCGTCGGCGGCAAGTTCGGGGGAGTCCTTCTTAACCACGAGTTCGACGGCAACAGCGTGCACACACGCTGGCGGCAATCACCAGACGGCAGCCACGCCCCCTGGACCGCCTCCAGAGTGTTGGAAGGGGCAGGGCAGGGCGACGGCTGGGATGGATGTGACCACGGCCAAGACGACAACTTCTGGGGGCCGACGTACGACGACGACGGCGGGGAGGGCGGCGTGCACCCCGCAGAACGTGCGGCAAAAGCGGCCGCGGATCGATCGGCGAGTGACCATCGCCGCGTGTTCGCGACTCTGATGGCCAGGAACAAGGAAAACGTCACCGAAATAATGAAGACGGTTCCACACGCCAAAGCCTCGGAGATACAGGCTGAACTGGACAAGTGGGTGAGGTTCCAGCTTGCCGAAGCTACCGGCGAGAAGAAGAGCGGGAATCCAGCGCAGGTAAAAGCGAAAGGGAGGCCTAAGATATCCAAGTCAGAGGGATCAAAGACGTCTCTGGTGCTGGGTCTGGAGCAAAGACCCGTCGGCCTACCAAAGAGAAAACGTCGTGGCGTACGACACGTAGTCCCTAGTAACAGATCAACGGCCGGGACACATGGATAGTTCAAATCGTGTGCCGCCCTTGTCATCTCGTTCCCGGAGTTGCCAGTCCATATCACCTCTTGCGTGGTAACGCTGCCCAGCTACTAGCGGACGTTGCAGGCTAAGCCTGATGTTTGGAATTTCACGCGACAAAGTATGCGCTATGCGTGCTATCTGGCCTTATCTGTCTGCGCGTTTTTCCGTTCAACTTTCTGTCTTTTGCTTTACTTTTTCGCTGGGCCGTGTTTATGTTGGGGCGTTCTTGTTTACCTACGTTATGCAGGCGCAGCTATCCGAGTGTCGGACCTGGTCGTTAGCGTTGAATACAATGTTTGTCTTGTACGCAATGTCTATCAACATCCTCTCCAAAGCCTGGTCGTTGGGATGTCCACTTTGTAGGCCGGCAACGCGAGGCGACCTTTCTCTGTGCCGTCGGTAGCAATACCGTGAGTTCAACTCTCTCTTTAGCCCTCAACTAAACCTATCAATGTATGACGTTTTGGCGGGGTGGAGCCACGNCTCTGTGCCGTCGGTAGCAACACCGTGACTTCAACTCTCTCTTTAGCCCTCAACTAAACCTATCAATGTATGACGTTTTGGCGGGGTGGAGCCACGTGTACGCCGAATACCGTCTCGAGACTGTCCAGGGCAACCCCCCGCTCCCCTCTTCACCCGTATCGCCCATGTGCCTGTTCTAGGGACTCGAACATATACATCGGACATGTACATTCCTCCTAGACGCACATCGGAGAATAGCTCGCACGTCGACATGGCACGTGGGGGCGCCGTGGACCCCGAATTTAGGCGTATCTCTGCGCCAACAGGATGAAATTCACCCGCCACCGACTCCAACGACACTCGCTACCTCTAGCGACACAGCACACAAAGGTTGGTGTCGACTCGTCGCCTTTTGGTTGAAGACATGAGTGGTGTCGTAGATAAGGCTCAACTACGACACCACTCTCGGGGCGGCCGGACTCCTGCGGGTGACGGTATCTCCGCAGCCACCGGGCCGATGCAGCCGAGTAGCAGCTTCCGTGATAGCTGAAGATCGTGGCTTTCCGAAAAACTCGGTTTTACGGTCATTGGAACTCTGTGCGCTGAGATGTGGGTAGTGTCGTATCTAATCTTATCTACGACAACATCCCCCGGGGCGCTGTGGCCCTCGGATGTTGGCGTTCCACCTAACCCACCGGATGAAATTCACCCGCCATCGACTCCAACGACGCCCGCTACCTCTAGCAACACAGCGCAAATGGTTTGGCGTCGAGTCGTCGCCTTTAGTCGAAGGAACGAGTGGTGTCGTAGTTAACCGCTAAACTACGACACCACTCTCGGGGCGGCCGGACCCCAGTGGGTGATCGTATCCCCGCAACCACCGGGCTGATCTAGCCAAGTGACGGCTTGCACGATAGCTGAGGATGGTGTGAACCCATTCGAGTCGGTTTTTCGTTGATTCACGCTCTGTGCGCCGAGATGCGGGTGATGTCGTAGTTAACCTTATCTACGACACCACCCTGCGGCACCACCGTTAACCCATGGGTAAGCATATCTCGGCTGACACAGGTCCGATTGAGGTCATCGACGGCTCTAACGATAGCTGTGGGTCGTGGCGAGGTAGCGTGAGTAGTTCTGGGCTGCTGTGCGCTCATTGGGTCGACGTAGACCACGTTTGGAGGTTTATACCGAGCTCGCGATACCTCTGTGCCCCTTCCTGAGTCTGTAACTCGAGAACTACCGAGTCGAATGAGATGTCAAAGTACTTGCGCGATCGCTGCGGGCCGTGGCTACCTAACGAAGTCAGTTTTACAACGATTGAAGCCTTGTGGGCTGAGATATGGCCTGATACCTGAGGGGACCCTGCACGTGATGCTGCGGAACCCCCATTTCCGACAATATCTCCGCTACCACGTAGCGGATTAAGCTGAACAAGGGCTTGACTGATAGCTACGGGCAATAGTATTCTAACGAAACTACTTGGGCGTTTATTAGAGCCCTGCTGGCTGAGATATGATCGGATACGTGAGGGGACCCTGCCTATGATGCTGCGGAACCCCCGTTTCAAGAATATCTCCGCATCCACTCAGCCGATTGGTTAAAACATAACTTGTGTGATAGCCTAAGACCGTGGCATTGCAACGAACTTGATTTGGCCTTTATTGAAAGCCTGTGGACTGAGAAATGGCAGCCTACTTCTAGGGACCCAGGCCGAGATGCTGCGGAACCCCGTTTCTCGATGATATCTTTCCAACCGCGTGGCCCCTGGAGTTGAAACAAAGCTTGCGTGATCGCTAAGAGCCGTGGCGTTCCAACAAACCTAGTCTGACGCCATTTGGAGCCCTCTGAGCTGAGATCCGGATGGTGTCGTAGTTAAGGATTTACGACAACGGTGTCGTGTTTAGCGTTACCGATAATCGTTGTAGTATACGTCTCACCACGAAAATTGGGGGGACTGTACACACACATTGTAGCCATCATAAAACTTCAAGTAAAACGAAAACACACAACACACATTCTGCTGCACATGCACCAATCAATTCGACACGGAGGAACATCCTCCCAGCTACATCCGTGTCACGCTGCAACTGCGAGCCTGCAACCGGTGCTGCTCAGCATGGCACAAGCGCCACACACACATGCAACTGAATGGAAGACCACTGCTGCATCTACAGCAGCAATACAATCATGGAGTGGCTCGATTCCTATCCGTGTGAAAGACAAAAAAGAACGAAACACGACTCCTGCACCAATAAATCTAGACTTGTCTAGGTCATTACCAGCTGACCATTACTCACCAGGCCCTGCGGACCCCGAACTGGCGTCTCCCTCCATGACGCTCTGTTGTTGTTGTTGTTTCTCACACTAGCTCTATAGTCCACAAAAAATGGGGAGCCCGTAGTCTCAAAACCCGGCACATACGACGCCACGGGGATACAAAACAAAATAGGGTACAAACCACTCGGAACAAGAAAACAGATTAATAAAAAGAATACATCAGGTACCGCACCGACCGTTCGAGTAAAGAGCCCTCGGAAACCAATCAAAATAAAACAAAAACAAAAATAAAGGAGGACGTTCTACAGATAGTCTAGAGATGGATTTGTTGTGTGACATTAAGAAAAACAAAAAAAAAGGAGGACGCTTCCCACACCCGTCTAAAAAAATAAAAAATCATAGGGTAACGTCCCAGCACCGTGCACTACGCACCAGGGCATGGGAGTAACGGAGCAAACAGGACAAAGAGGTGGCAGATGTGCAGACAGCCAGATGTACAAAAAACAATAGCAACAGCAAGAGCGAGATCAAGGTACCCAACACAGCAGCGTAGGCAGGGAGGACATGAAAAAAAAGAAACAGCACAGAGGCCGGAGGCAATACAAAGGACATACTACACGAAGGAGTAGAAAACAGCAGGGAGGGAAACAGGGCGCAACAACATCAGCCGGGTACATAGCTCGCCACAAGCGCTGCCTCGGCCGCCCTACTCGCTTCTACAGCAGTGCCCGGTCGCCGTTTCTCCTTCTCCACCGCCGCTTCCCGACTCTCTTTCTCTTAGGTCCAAAGATGGCCGAACTCTCTGCTTCTGCTTCCCTCGCGCGCTGGCGCTTCGCGGACGCTTCCGCCTCCTGCCTGTGCCACTTCCTCATGAGTCATGCCGCCCCGTCCTCGACCTTGTTGTACCCCTCCGGGTCCTTGGCGCTTCCTGTTGGTATGCCCTTGTTGTGTGACCTCCAGAGTCCAAAGAGTGTTGTTAACGGCATGTATTATTGTAGGGGGACACGAGGGAGAAGGAGGGAGGAAGAGTGCCAGGCCCAAAGCCAGTCGAAAAGGGGGCCCGCAAGTCGTATCTCAACTCGTATCTCAAGTTCTCTCCGGGAGCCGGTATACGAGACCCTAGGGTCCCGTATATAAAACGCGACCCT